GTGTATCTGTATATGATTAAGATGTGAAATTTGTGTATGTGCAGTGTGTGTATATGATATGTGCTATGTGTGTATGTGTGCAATGTGCATGTATATATCTATTCAATGGAGGGGCGTGGCATAGTGATGTGAGATATGAGCCTGTATGTAGTGCATGACATGTGTGTATATTTATATGGTGTGTGTGGTGTGTGAGATGTGTATTTATGTATGTGGTGTATATATGTGTGTAGCGAAGTGTGTGTGTATATCTCTGCAATGTGTGTGTGAGAGTATTATGGAATATGGTGTGTGTGGTGTGTACTTGTGGCATGTATGTATAGCTCTGCAGTGTATGAGAGAATGGAGATATGTGGACATAAAGTGGTATGTGGCATCTGTGTACATCTGTGCATTGTGTATGTAAGATGTACAGATGTTTTATATATGGTATGTGGTGTGTATGTGTGTATATGGTAATTGGTTATAATAATGTGCGTGTTTGTATTTACATGGGGCGTGGGGTTGAACTTTGTATGTGTGGTGTTGTGTGTATGAGTATGTGTGGTATGAGTATATATCTATGTAGTGTGTGTATGTGTGTGTGTAGGATGTAAAGTATATACGTATGTGATCTGTGTGGTGTATGGCATGTGTATATATCTGTGCAGTGGGGAGTAAGATATGGATGTGTGGCAGGGTGTGTTCAGTTTACACATCAACACTTACGTCACATGAGAGAGGACACACTTTCCAGATGAAATTAACCAGGAATGCCATGAGAATTTCTAAAGATATCGTTCGAATGTTTTAGGCAATGTTTTCGTGCAAGCTATACATTACAAGGTTATTAAGAGACTTTAAGGGAAAACAACTTTTAAAGTTCAACTCCTCTAGAACTAAAACAAAATTCGATTTATTCCACTGCCTAAGACATCATGGACACACTAAAACGGACTTGTAGTGACTGTTTGCTATGAACTTCAGTCACAGTTACTAAAGAGGAGCTGGAAGAAAGAATGTCTTTATAGATGAGTCCAATCAAAATTTAAGAACAAATTTCAGGATAAAATTAGTTTATAAAAATATCCATAAAGATAAATAGAAGATTAATGAATAAAGCAGATGGCTCACACACCCCAGATTTCATCAGATTCATTAATCAGAGAAAATAAAATTGTTTTAAAAGGGTTTATAAAATAAAAAAAACAAGTCCTTTTTCCAGAAGAAAATCAGTCCCAAATACCAGGGAATAACAACTCCTTCTCGGTTGGTAAAACCTCCTCTAGCCCTGGGGATTCCATGGTAGAACTCTAGCTGAGCATGTGTTGGGCCCTGGGTTCAATGTCCAATACTGGGGGAAGAAATTTCCAGGAAGCTCGTCATCTTCATTCCAGTAAAAGGGTAATACTCACAAGCTGAAATACAGCTATCAGCAGGACCTATGAATAGCCTAAGCTGCCAGCTCCCTGAGTGGCAATCACGGCATGCCCAGCTCTGCACAGGAGCCTTGAGCCTTAGTCCATCATTTGGATTGTCTTATTTTGACCATTGGCACTTGAGCCTGCCCTAAATGTGTTCACTGCTCAGCATATCAACCCCTCTTGGCCTTTTAAAGTCTGCATTCTAAACAGCCCTTCATGTGAGGACCACACTGGAGTCGAAGGCTGGCCTGGGGCACACCACAGTCTCACACCCAACAACTGTAGTCTCAGATTCTGCCAAGCAGTTCCAAAACCGGACCTGAGGCCTGCGTGTCCTCAGAGGTTCTTCAGGGCCAGGCTCAGACTGACTTTCCTTCCTAAAGTCTCCCTAGAACCAGGGAGGAGAAGGAGGAGCAGCCTGAGTGATCCACAGGGCAGTCACACCACACGCAGGTGAACCACTGCCGAGCAACCCTCCTTCATGCCCAGCGTGTTACAGACCGTCACATCCAAACAAACAGAAAGCAAACTTCACATCCAAACAGAAAGCAAACTTTAGACAGACATGTAATGACACTATTCATGGTTCTTTGCTGTTAGGATGTTCTGCTATGTCTATCTGGGGTATGGTTTCTTGTTCTTTCTCTTTTATGCTACCACAATTGATCAAGTGCCTGGGCTACTTCGAGGGCTACAGTGTTGCCAGTGAGGCCCGGCTGTCACTAGTCTAAACCTGAGCCCTCCTGAGTACATAAGCCTTGGGGGCTGTGACTAAGTTAACAGAGTGCTTACCTAAGATGCTGGAAGCCCCAAGTTTGATCCCCAGCTCCAGGGGATCTCCATGAACTTGAGAGGCCTACATACACCTGCAACTTCCACACAGAATTAGGTAGGAGGGTCAGAAGTTTAAGGTCATCATTGACTATATAATAAGTTCAAATCTAGGCTGGAATGCTAAGACCCTATCTCAAGAAAGGAAAAAAAAACTTTTTTTTTTTAAAAAAAGGAGGGTAAACTAACAGCAGGCAGGGATAGTTGAAAATACAGGTTAAATGTGCTGTTAGCTTGGAATTCCGCTGGTTGAGAACTTTCTCAGTTTCATTTTTCCATCCTTCACTGGAAATGTCAGCAGCTGCTGAAGAAATGCTTTGATGTTGTGTCAACAGCCAACACCCATCAGGCTGTGGTGTGTACAGTACCCCTGTCCTGTAGCTGAAGTATCTGAGTCTTACCACTGCAGCGTACAGCATCCCGTGATCACCTACCCCTAGGTACTTCTTGCAGAAAACCTGTGATGATGCCGTATAGAAATCTTCCAGAGAGCTGGAAAGCATCTGAGACTGCCTTGAACTTGGAAAACAGAATTTTATCAAATGGAATTAAGGAGCTTTGCAAACTACAAACCTTCAGATTTTAGAACTGAGTTCCTGTTATAAAATGCAGGCTTTTAAAAGCATCAGAAGAATCCTTCACTCCTCAGTAACACTAAATTAAAAGATTTTCAGTTTTTCAATAAAACAAGTCATTTTAAAATTCAGCATGCCAATGTGGGGAATCTGCTCGCGTGTGCCCACAGAGGGTCATTTGATCAGCTGAAGGCGACATGCACACAAGACTACATTTTTCCTTTAATGTCTGGGCTTCTTTCTGTGTGAACTCAGACTTCTGCAGGGATGCAGGGACCACCTCTGGGCTTACGTTCACATGACACCACTGTTCACAGATGCTAAACAACAGGGACAATAGAGGACAGTACAGGCCACTAATGACTGGTACCATGCACCCTGGGGCACTGCTGTGTCCTCTCCCTTGGAGACACAGGTAGCCTCAGAGTAGGCCCAATAAGCTTTCTGACCCTCAATGTACTGCCACTGGCTCTGAGATAACTCAAACCTGTCCCCACAGAAAGAGTCTAGGCTAAACCACTATCTTCCTATGTTCCTCATTTGGCCCAGACCTTAAGTAAAGTGGTTTTTCTACCTAAAATACCATTTTAATTTGTCTGGCTGAATATTCAAATTCCAGATTCAATGACCCGCTCCTTGGGAAGGGATACAGCCGACGTCAAGTAAAGTGGTTCTTTCAAAGCGTGAGTTTGAGAATTGCCCCTCATTTTGAAAACAGCCTCTGTGTTCTGCCTAGCACACACCAGCAGCTTTGCCCAGCTCCACGTGCTTGTCTTAAATGCTTCACAAACAGAAGCATAAGATGCAATTATGAAGCTAACAGAGATAACAAACATGTTCTAGTCATGGTTTAGCCTCCAGGTAGCCGTGGTTTGGTTTCTGTTTGGTTTCTTGCTTCGTTAGTTTTACTCTTTAGACCCTGGACATATCATTTAAACAAGCAATATTCATCCCTTTAAAGATTAAACTCAACCAAATGTGTATGTTTGATGCTGAGCTGTGTCCCTTTTGCTAAAACATGATGCTAAAGTATGATATGCGTTCAGTAGCTGAGAGGTCAAATTCAAGTGCAGACTGGAGGGAGGGGGGAGGTTCCGGTGGCCACATTCTCTTTATGTGTTTTATACAGTCAAAAATAGCATGCATTCCTTTGGGGATTTGGTTCCAACCTGCCAAGATACAGCATATTTACCTGAAGATGCGCCATGTGGGGTTTTTTTTAATTGGATCTGTAACTAGTGCTTACAGACCAGACTGTTCTACAGGTTTGTCAACGCAGGTGGTGGGGAGAGCTTCTGTCTCATCAGAAAAGCCACACCTGAGGTAAGCCCCTGGACTCTCTCCTGTCCCTCACCTGGGAGAAGCATGGCTGTGGCTGCTTCAGCTGGTCAGACTGGAGGAAATGGGTTGGTAGATTACCTGAGCTGTAACACCATGCTTGTGAACTGCAGGAATTCTGCCAGTTACATTGTGAATTTTTGAAAAACGATTAACATTATTTGTGTTGCAAGAAAAACTCCTTTCCAGCCTGGGGGAGCAAGAGCCCCAGCCTCATCCCCCTCTTAGCTCATTTGAAGGAAAGACTACTATTACCCAACTACTCCTTGAACCAAGACAGTTCAGGGCCGAAGAGTATCTTTTCAGGTAAAACACGAGAACCCCTCTTACAGGAAGCAAGGCTGCCTCTGCCCTGACCTCCAGAAGTTGGGCGTTCTTGCTCTGGAGGGGAAATATGACCCACCCCGCCGCCACAGAAGGACACAGAAGTTGTGGCATTGGGGTACATCCCTCGTCGGGGGGAGGTGGCTGCCACGTCTGACTAGTGTACTTCTGGTAGGCCAAACCATGATCTCAGGATGGACGCCTAGAGCGAGAGGGGACATTGGCAGGACTCCTGGTGAAGTCAGGTGGCAGGAGTATGCCTCAACACCAGTGCTCTGGGGAAAGCAGGCCCCATGCGAGGAGACCAGACAGTTCAACCTTAACCCTACGTACCAGCAAAAGGCACATTTGTAGTTCACTCCTTGCCCTGTCGAGCAAGAGGATGGCTAAGGAGGGCGCATTTCCTCACATCCAACAGTCGTCTGTGTTCCCCGCACCTTGGGGCTCCAGAGGACATTTGTCCCAAGGCGTCCCGACTCCCCCACGCACCCTGGCCCAGGACCTTCGCCCAGCTGTGTGGGTTACCCACCTTGACCACATAGGTGACTCCCGGCCCCAACACCTGCTCGCTGGCGTGAGGAGCGCCCCGCGGGGGCCTGGGCAGCGGCTCGTCGCCGGCCCGGCTCTTCCTGGTGGCGCTCATGCTGGCGGCCTGGGCGCGAGCCCCGGGGGTCGCGCTGCCACCGTCCGGGGCCGCCAGGCTGGGCGCGCTGCAGCTGCCCGAAAGCCGCGCGCCCACCCGCTCCCGGGCAGCGGACGACAGGCCGCGCAGGCCGGAGCTGGAGAGTTTCAGGTGGGACACCTTGTGGAGCAGGTGGCCCAGGCTGCCGGGCCCATCGTCCGGCGCCTTGCGCAGCGCCTCGCCCGACACCAGGTAGGGGGTCGCCGCGGGCGCCGCCGCCGAGACCTTGCCGCCGCTGCCGCTCACCGACAGATTGTGGAGAAGGTCATCGACCGATGTCACCGAGTCATTCCTGAAGCGGTTGTACTTGGTGCGTGGAAGCATGCCCCTCCGTGAGCTCGCCGCATCCGCCCGGGCGCTGCTGCTGCCGGCCCCGGCGCGGGCTGCCGCGCATAGCACACGAGCCGCGGGCCCCGGAGCGGGACAAGGAGCTGGGGTCCCGGGACAACCTTTCCGGAGAGGGACAGCCGAGGCTGACGACCGAGCCCTCACACCGTTACAAGGCAGCAGAGCAACCGACACGCAGCGCGGGCCCGGAAGACCACGGGTTGGGGTGGAACGCTTGCCTTGCAAAAGTCATAGTTGCCGCTGATGGAGCGCCCAGCTGCACGGGGCTGCTCCCAGCAAAAGCGTGACTCACTCTGAGGAGACCCTTCTCAACAAAGGCTCGGTGAGCTCCGCAAACCACTTCCTGTAGCAAAAAGAGAGAGAGAGGGAGAGAAGAAAACGACATCCACCCGCTGACAGCAACTACAGCCAATCAGTTCTCAAATTTCCTTTTTTTACCTTCGCAGATATTTCCTTCCAATCTTTGCTTTTTCACCTACCCCTGCCCCATCCTGCATTTGTGCCAAAGTTAAATCCAGTTCCTTCAAATGATCTCTTGAACTTTCCAAAACCCATTATTCCATGCTAGGGTTCGTTCTTCCCCTGCCAAGCTCATGAGGATGAGCCCCAGAAGTGTCTGACAGCGAGCGATGCGTTAAAATGTGACGAAGGCTTTTTAAGAAGTCTTCAGGCAAATCCTGATGAATCTTGATTTAGGAAGCAGCAACAATTTTTCAGAAAAAAAAAAAAGGAAAAGAGGGAACCCTTCACCATCAGGTGAAAATGTAAAAAAAATAAATAAATAAAAGGCGTCGGTTTCCTGTGGTTTGCTTTTCTTGTTCACATCCACAGAGCAGCCATGTGTGTCTGCTGGCGAATGTCTGTGGCGATGCAATTCCTCAGACAACACACGGAAAAAAAAATCTGCACATGAACTTCTTCTCAGTACAGCTTAGGGGGTCTTGCCTGATCATTTACAGCAGCCAGCAGCCTTTCTCAGTCAGGATTAAGTTGAAAATCTACTTCCAAAAAAGAATGGTGCTTCTCTGATGAGCGGCAACAGGCTCCAGAAATCCATGCCAAGAAAGAAAAAGGGAAAAAAGAGGGTTGAGCTCTGAGCTTTATTCCAACTGAATGTGTTTAAGCCCTGGAAGCACGCCTTAGTAACACCACCAATCCATGTCAATGTCCCTTCAGCTGCTGCTTTGCAGCCCTGCAGTCAGGCAGGAAAAAAAAAAATGTGGCTGCTCTAACTGCCCATCAAATCCACAGGAAGAACGGCCTCATCCTTGGGAGTCGGGCTCAGGCTTGCAATGACACACACAGGCCTTCTTCCTGGCGTTTAGGAGAGCAGGACATCGACAGCCTCCCGGAAGGTCTGTCCAAGATTCTGAGACCTTCCTCGGTGGCCTCTGCCAGGTGGCCTCATGCATTAAGATGAATAACCTGCATCACAGGGAAGTCAACCGCTGTCAAAGTTTCCCGGTAACTTCTGTGCCAGCGAATGCTTTTGCCTTCTAGCACACTAGCAGGTCACCCTGAGTCTTCTCACGCCCAGGGCTGATCTCAGGTGGCTGCGAGGTTCCCAGGCTTTCTGGGAGCCCCAGGAACGGAGTTTAGGGAGTGTCACCCATGGCGGGCGCACGGGTGAGGCCGGCTCCAGAGGACGAAGGAGCGCTGAGCAGCCAGGCCCGCCCTGTCGCAGCAAACGCGTCCCCACCGCTCTCCAACCGCGCCGCAGCCCTAGCCCAGCAGCCACCCCGCACTCTCTTTTTTCCCTTCCCCTAGCTTGCATAGCAACAGCAGATGCGCACCCCACGGACGATTTCGATGGTGATTAGAGTCCCCCTCCAATCTGAAGCAAGTCAGCCCCACCATTCCCAAACCGTGGTCTTCATTAGAAGCAGACAAAAAAACGACAGAATGTGAATGAGATGCTGTTTGTGTGAATGAAAGGGCCAGCGAGCGAGCCAGCGTTTCTGTGAATGGAGCGGGGCCTTGCAGCCAGTGCCAGGCAATCCCCTGGGCTCAGGCGGCCTCAGCCAATGAGCGGCTGCGCCGATGACTCATTCAACAAAGGCTCGCTCAATAGTGGAAGATTCCATTTCAATCAAGGGCGGGATCTTTTATCCAACAGCAATGTGGGAAAAAAAAAAAGAGAGAAAGAAAAAAAATAACACCACCCAGATTGATTACAAAAATGCCGGGAGGAAGAGACAAGCCTGTGTAGAGAGAGGCGAGAAATTAGCTTTATAAGGATGTTGGAGACCAGTCGGGTCAGGTCCCGGTGAAGCAGGACCACTCTCTTGAAGGTGAGCTGTACCCAAACTTTCATTCACTGGTTCTTCTACATCATGGAGCAGCCATGAATGTACCAGCTTTTATTATGAATGCACACAGAAGGCACAGTCAAAGGCTAGCCTCTTCCCCCTGAAGTCTTTCCTAATTAAAGAAATCAAACATCTATGCCAGCTAAGCCTCCAGAGAGGTGGAGGGGGATCCCAAAGCTGCATCATTAACCCTTTAGCCAACAGGAGAGTTTCAATTCTATTATGAGGCCAACGGAGGGAAATGAGTGAGAAAATATGAATGGCAGTGTAAAATTCCATACAAAAATATGCTCGTTGCTGTGTGCTGTTAATATTTCAAGAATATAATACAATACAGTAAGACTACAGTTAACTGGAAAATGGTATGAATGTTTTGGTATGCAAGAGAGAAAGAAAAAAATCTAAAAAGCCCAAATGCGTCAGATGGAGTTCCACAGCCCCTGCAGGGGAGCTCCGCTCACGTGCTGAGCCCAGGAGAGCCCTTTGTTCCCCCTGGGGAGCCCTGCCTTGCTTATTTTAGGCACTATTCTCCAAAACCCAAGCATCTGGGCTACCAACCTGCAACCCACCGACAGTGATGAGAAAGGGGGGCGCCTGGATAGATAAATCTAGATGCCATGTTCGTAGTCTACGCTGTGCTTTGAATATCACGTGTTATCTGAATGCTCGTGTTGACGTCTAACCCTGGCAACCATTCCGAGGGTGAAAGCTTAATCTGTATCATTTAGTGGAAGGGCTACTGGGACGCGACTGGGATTGGGTGGTCAGAGTAGAACCTCAGTGGCTGAATACTGGTGGCTTTGTGGAAACAGAGGAGGCTCAAGTGACAGCCCAGTCAGTCAAGGGCTTATCTTGTAAGCATGAGGACCTGAATCCAATCCTCAAAAACTCATATCAAAAAACAAAAATGAACAAACAAAAAAAGATCTTGGCCTGGTGATCCAGTGTTGCATAAGCCAAAACAGGCAGATTCCTGGAGCACTGAAGCCAGCCAGCATTCTCTACTCAACCAGTCCTAGGCCAAGATGAGACCCTATCTCAAAAACCAAGATGGGGCCAGAAAGGTTGTTGTCAACCTTGATGACCTGAGTTCAATCCCCAGGACCCACATGGTGGAAAGGGACTCTTAAAGTTGTCCTCTGACCTCTGCACACATGTTGTAACATGCATGCCCCCCCCCCAGCAATCTAATGAAAAGTTGTTTTTAAAGAAAATATGACTGTCCTCTAAGGAATGAAAGTAGAAGCTCTTCTCTGTCCTCGACATGCGTGCACTCCAGCACACACATACAACCGCACACACATGCTCACACAAACGGGAAAGACCAAAGTTTGTGCATCGTGCACGCACACACATACAAACACACACCCACACATGCATGTTCCCTTTCTCTCACCATGTGAATGCCTGAGCCACTTCAGACTCTGCTGACAAGAAGAGTCATTCTGGTCTCTCAACTGTACCAGACCCTGGAACCAAAGTAAATATCTTTGTTCATAATTCACCTAATTTGGGGACTGTTATTAACAAGGGAGTTGGATTAAAACGCCATAACAGCACAAAGATAGCACCCTGCCAGAACAGCGGATAGTGAAGGCTGCTTGTCCTTACTCCTCTGCAACCCAGTGTCCTCCAATGAAAGGAAGGCACATTTCCTACTTGCAGGATTCTCTGTTCATCAGGATGAAGAGTCCAGTCAGGTGAAATAATAAATGCATGGGGGATTAGGAGTCCATGTAGAGACATCCAGTGCAGAGGTTGAAACCGGGGAATTTTAAATTCTCTAATGAGATATAAAACAGGTGGGTCAGATATTGGCTTGGCCGTGCGTGTTTATCATCCTGGCATTTGGATGGTTTGTGGCCTCTAGTGGGACAGCCAGGGCTGCATGGTGAGATTCTGTCTCAAGAACAAATGAAATAGTCAGAAATTGTAGGATAAGCATAAAACCCAGTTTGAAGGATGCCGTGGGTAAATGGGTGCAGTGATGAATACCATCACAGCCTTAAGGAAATGTCCTCACCAATGAGCAATGAATGCCCATTGCAAGTGCTGTTTACAGCCCATTTTGCACAAATGGAAGTCAAGGATCATTGGGGCTACACAATGTGCCAAACCACAGCTTCTGTCTTCACGGCCACACAAAGAGATGTACCTCAAAGAGGTGTGCTGTCTGCTGTCCAGTGAGCCTTCTCCCTGTGGGTACTGGTTATCTGTCATTAGCTAGCATAGAACAGAGGTGCCAATGGCATGAGAGACAGAAAAAGGAATGGAAAGTTCAGACTTTTTGGAAGATAGAATGGAATTTTTTTAAGATTCCTGTTACAAAGAGGAGCTAGGGAGATGGCCAGTCAGTGAAACGTCTGACACACAAGCACAGCGTGAGCTCAGAACCCACATAAAAAGTCCAGAATGGCAGTGCCCACCTGAAATCCTACTGCTAGGAACAAAGAGACAGGAAGACCCCAGAAGCTCCATGACCTGTTCAGTTAATGAACTCCTAATTCAGTCCTATCCAGTTAGTGAGCTCCTAATTCAGTGAAAGACTCGGTCTCAGAAATTAAGGTGGGGAGCTGGAGAGATGGCTCAGGGATTAAGAGCACCGGCTGCTCTTCCAGAGGGCCATAGTTTGATCACCAACACCCACATGGTAGCTCACAACTGTCGGTAAAGCCAGTTCCAGGGAAGTCGATGCCCATTTCTGGGTTCCTCGAGCACTAGGCTCACACATGGTATACAAATATAAATGCAGACAAAGCATCAATACACCTAAAATAAAAATAAGTACAGTGAAGAGTGATAGACAGTCCCCTGCCTTCACATGCACACACATGCACACACGCACATGTACACACACACACATGAACACAAACACATTACAAAAACATAAATACAAATGTTAAGATATAATAGCATACAACAGAGAGAAGTCAGAATATGTAATAGAATAAAGGGGTAGTATAGAATGAGAGGGAGGGAGGGAGGGAGAGAGGGAGGGAGGGAAGGGGGGACAGCACACAACAGTGAGACCCTCCAGGAATTGCAGGCTTCAGTACTTTAGGTTGGATTTCCTGGTAGATTTCTATCAGACCAGAAAAGAAGGGGGGGACAAAAAATGGTGGGTTGAGGAGTTAGGATGGATTTCTAGTAGTGGGTGGGGGGAATACTGTCCTTAGTGTCACCTGAGTATTCCTCTCAGGCGCTCAGCGTCAGAGGAGCAGCTAACAATAACCTGTGAGACTGCATGAGCAAACCCAGTGATGCCCGAGCGACTGAGGTACAGTTGCCTCCAGTGCGCACACACACCTCCCCACCTGGGGCCTACAGCTGCCAGTTAATAAACCTAGCTGCGGTTATAGGCTGGCTTTACCCCCCATTCCCTCCCTGAATCAGACAGTCACTCTTGGGTGGTGACCCTGGAGAAGATAACCACTACACAGTGTTGCCTACCATCCACACCATGTAAACAGACAGAAGCATTTGCTCTATAGATGTAGGTGCCTGGGGTGGTATTTAGGACAGACTAGGTTAACTGGGACAACATCTGCATGGCTCATTGACTGCTCTTACACACACACACACACACACACACACACACACACACACACACACACACGGGGCTCTGATGTCCTGCTGTCTGCTCTGGGGAATGTGAGAGGCAGAGAAGCCTCCGTCTGAGACATTGGTATTCAGACAAGAAGAGCCCTAACATTGCTTTTACAGCGCTGCAAGTCTCCACCAGGAAGTGCAGGAAGTGCCAGGAATGAGCCACCTTTGTAGAAGGTTGTTAGGCCCCTTATGAGATGCTGGTGGCAGGTTTTTGTCTATACTGAGCTGTTGCTGGGCCATCTCTGGGCTTGTGGACAGTGTGGTGGGTGTGTTGCTAGGAAACAGCCAATTGAGTGGAGTCCGTGGGAGGCTTCCTACGGAATCATGTGATCTGTGGATGGCCGCACATCCTGTGGTCAGCAAGGCTCTGCCAGGATGGCGTGAGAGGTAAATGGCCAGCTGCCGTGCCCATGGTGACCCCGTGGCATTGTCGAGATGGAACCGCATTTTACCAGACTCTGACCCTCTCCAGGGTTGTTCAGGGCTTTGGCCTTCAAACCAGATTCTGCCCCCACAAAGTCATGCCCAGGCCCACCTCTGCTGTTTTAGGAAGTGCACTGGCATTCCTAACAGGGCGCACTTCCAGTTAACCTGATCCCAGGATACGGCTCCCTGGTGACAGTCGACATACCTGCAAGCATTGCTTCTGGACAACTAAATAGCCGTCTCAGGACTTCTCCCTAATGCTACAGAGAACACTGCACCCGAGTTAGAAGCATGAAAGCAAACCCGTTTATTTGAGTCTGAAAGTCCCCAACTGTGAGCATGCAGACCCAAATCCAGAGAGATTGGCCCCTGTCTGTGCACTCAAGGGCACAGACAGAGACTCAGACACACAACAGAAATAGACTCTCAAAATATATTTGTGGATAGTCGGGACTAGGGGAGAGAACCGTCAGTAAGTGAATAAGCCCTACACATCCTCCAGTTCAACGGTTCTCCTCCCCTTCCTAACGCTGCGACCCTTTTAACTGTTCCTCATGTTGTGGTGACCCCCCAACCATAAAGTTGTTTTTGTTGCTACTTCTTAACTGTAATTTTGCTGCTGTTA